TCCAACAGAACAGTCCCCAGCAATTAATCAGGAGTGCAAATCTTGGAATGGTTGGGCTGGGAGGGATCTTAAAGCTGCTCCAGTGGCAGGGCCAGCTCCCAGCCCTCCTGGGCTCCAGTCTGTGCTCCCAGCTGGAGCAGGAGGAGAGCCCAGGGAGGGGCAGGGCTGGGCCAGGAGCAAAAACCCAAAAATCCCCAACAGAACCAAGCCCCAGAGGGCTCCAGGCCAGGGCAGGGCCCGGATCCAGCCCTGGCTCCTCACCTGCCCCCAGGAAGAGCGTGGACCAGAGGTTGACGTTGAGCATCATGTGGTTGGAGCCCGTCTGGTAGTGAGCCCTCATGTGGTCCTGGGACACCCCCGTGAGCCCGTCCAGGGTCAGCGACAGCAGCTGGGCAGCCACAGACACACAGACAGACAGACAGACAGACGGGGACACCGTCAGGCCCCGCTCCTTCTCCCCAGGGGAAACGGCAATCCCTCCTTTCACAGCAGGGACCCACAGGGATTGTCAGGGGGGCTGCAGGCACAGGGGGCTCCTCTCAGCACGCCTGGGAGCCCGGGTTTGTCCTGGGGTAAATCCCACCTGGGAGCCCGGGTGTAACCTGGGGTAAATCCCACCTGGGAGCCCGGGTTTATCCTGGGGCAAATCCCACCTGGGAGCCCAGGGTTTATCCCAGGTGTAAATCCCACCTGGGACCCCAGGGTTTATCCCAGGTGTAAATCCCACCTCAAACCCTGGAATTTATCCCAGGTGAGACTAAATCCCACCTGAGTGTTTATCCCAGGAGTAAATCCCACTCTCAGGAGTAAAGACCCCCTGAAACTCTGGAATTTATCCCCGGTGCAAATCCCCCCTGAAACCCTGGAATTTATCCCAGATGAGGAGTAAATCCCACCAGAATCCCAGGATTTCTTCCAGAAATAAATCCCACCTGAGTGCCCCGGGGCTCCTCCCAGGTCCCAGCACTCACCAGCAGCAGCTCCCCGTAGCCAAAGATGTGCTCGGTGTCCCCTGTCCCCTTTTTGGGCTTGTAGAGGAACAGGGCCACCCCCGCCACGATGAGCAGCACGCACAGGTACTTGGCTGGGGGGTACCTCTTCCGCAGCAGGGTCACCCCCAGCAGCATCACTGGGAAAAGAGAATCAGGAACTGCCCCAAAATCCACCCACAGGAATTCAATCCCCAAAAAGTCACCCCCAGCAGCATCACTGGGAAAAGGGAGGTCAGAAACTGCCCCAAAATCCACCCACGGGAATTAAATCACTAAAAAATCACCCCCAGGAGCATCACTGGGAAAAGGAGATCAGGAACTGCCCCAAAATCCACCCACGAGAATTAAGTCACCCCCAGGAACATCACTGGCAAAGGGGAGGTCAGGAACTGCCCCAAAATCCACCCACGGGAATTAAATCACTAAAAAATCACCCCCAGGAACATCAGTGGGAAAAGGGAGGTCAGGAACTGCCCCAAAATCCACCCACGAGAATTAAGTCACCCCCAGGAACATCACTGGCAAAGGGGAGGTCAGGAACTGCCCCAAAATCCACCCACGGGAATTAAATCACTAAAAAATCACCCCCAGGAACATCACTGGCAAAGGGGAGGTCAGCAACTGCCCCAAAATCCACCCACGGGAATTAAATCACTAAAAAATCACCCCCAGGAGCATCACTGGGAAAAGGAGATCAGGAACTGCCCCAAAATCCACCCACGAGAATTAAGTCACCCCCAGGAACATCCCTGGCAAAGGGGAGGTCAGCAACTGCCCCAAAATCCCCCCCTGGGAATTACATCCCTGAAAAATCCCCCCCAGGAACATCAGTGGGAAAAGGGAGGGCAGGAACTGCCCCAAAATCCCCCCCTGGGAATTACATCCCTGAAAAATCCCCCCCAGGAACATCAGTGGGAAAAGGGAGGGCAGGAACTGCCCCAAAATCCCCCCCTGGGAATTACATCCCTGAAAAATCCCCCCCAGGAACATCAGTGGGAAAAGGGAGGGCAGGAACTGCCCCAAAATCCACCCACGGGAATTAAATCAATAAAAAATCACCCCCAGTAGCATCTCTGGGAAAAGGGAGGTCAGGAACTGCCCCAAAATCCACCCCTGGGAATTACATCCCTGAAAAATCACCCCCAGGAACATCACTGGGAAAAGAGAGGTCAGGAACTGCCCCAAAATCCACCCACGGGAATTAAACTTGTAAAAAATCACCCCCAGGAACATCAGTGGGAAAAGGGAGGTCAGGAACTGCCCCAAAATCCACCCACGGGAATTAAACCCCTAAAAAATCAGGAGCATCAAACCCCCCAAAATTGGGCGATTCTCTTACCTGGGATGGGTTTGCAGGACTTGCCCAGGACCTGGGAAGGGAAGAGGGGTGTCAATGATCCCCACCCCAGAGTGAGACCCCAAAAATGAGACCCCAAAAATGAGACCCCCAAAAATGAGACCCCCAAACTCCCCGGGGCAGCCGAGACCCCACAGGCAGAGCTCAGCCCCCTCCCCAGGGAGGGACCCCAGCTCCCTGCCCGGTGACACTGCCACCACCCTTGGGGAGCTCTGTCCCTTCTCAGAGCCCTCCCTCACCCCCAGCAGGGACCGGGACACGAGAGTGACCCCAGGAAATGGTGGGTCGGGGTCACAGCCAGGGACCCCTCAGTGTCACAGCCAGGGTAGGGGTCACAGCCAGGGTCCCCTCAGTGTCCCTGTGCTGGGTGTCCCCCCATGTCCCAGCCCTGTCCCTGTGAGTGGGGCAGCTGTATCCTCATGTCCTCCTGTCCCCCTGGGTGGGGTGGCTGTCCCCGTGTCCCCATGTCCCTGTCCCCGTGCCCACCTGGGTGGGGTAGCTGTGTCCCTGTCCCCGTGTCCCCCTGGGTGGGGTGGCTGTGTCCCTGTGTCCCAGCCCTGTCCCCATGTCCCTGTCCCCCCGTGTCCCCATGCCCACCTGGGTGGGGTGGCTGTGTCCCTATGTCCCAGCCGTGTCCCTGTCCCCCCGTGTCCCCCTGGGTGGGGTGGCTGTGTCCCTGTCCCCATGCCCCTGTCCCCCCGTGCCCACCTGGGTGGGGTGGATATGTCCCTGTCCCCATGTCCACCCCCGTGTCCCCCTGGGTGGGGTGGCTGTGTCCCTGTCCCCATGTCCCTGTCCCCCCGTGCCCACCTGGGTGGGGTGGATATGTCCCTGTCCCCATGTCCACCCCCGTGTCCCCCTGGGTGGGGTGGCTGTGTCCCTATGTCCCAGCCGTGTCCCTGTCCCCCCGTGTCCCCCTGGGTGGGGTGGCTGTGTCCCTGTCCCCGTGTCCCAGCCCTGTCCCCATGTCCCTGTCCCCATGTCCCCCCTGTGTCCCCGTGTCCCAGCCCTGTCCCCGTCCCCCCGTGCCCACCTGGGCTGACGAACTGCAGGGCGGCGTTGCTGGACACCATGGCACCCAGGTAGGACAGCGAGCAGGCCCCGTACAGCCAGCCCCGCGTGCGGTCCGGCCGCGCCGCGTCCGTCAGGCGGATCACTGCGGGACAGCGACGGCTCAGGAGCGGCCCCGGGCCCGCCACAACCGGCCCGGGGCTGCCGGGGCTGCCGGGGCTCCGCACTTACGGAGCTTGGCGAAGGCGGCGTTGATCACGCACTGGATGAACACGAGCGTCAGCGCGTACTTGAACTTCTCCTGCTTCGCGCCCTCCCCGTAGCGGCCGCGGGTGCTGCGGGACGGACAGCGGGACACACGGACACCGGTGACACCGGGACGGACACCGGGCAGAGCGCCCGTGGCACGGGAAGGAGCGGCGCGCCCCGGCTCTGCCCCGGTCCCCGGTCCCCGCTCCCAGCCCCGGGTGTGCCCCTGGCCCCGCGCCGGTGTCCCCGCGTCCCCCCAGCCCCGGTACTCCGTGCTCCCGCAGCTCCAAGCCCCGGTCCCGCCGCGTCCCGGCCCCGCTCCGCCCCGGTGCCCCGGTGCCCCTCACATGCTCTCCTGCAGGATGCCATAGTAGAAGTAGCAGGCGAACACGCCGAGGAAGCAGACGGGCAGGCGGAGGCGCTCGGGCAGCCCCGCGGCCGCGCTCGCTCCCATGGTGGCGGCGGGGCCGCTCAGCGCGGGCGGCACCTCCAGCGCCACATCCCGCGGCGCCCCGGGCGGCCTCATCGGCCCCGCCGCGCCGGGGGAAAGGCGGGCGAGGCGAGCCGGGAACAGCGCGGGACAGGACGGGAATTTCACGCCGCGATCTCTGAATCCTTCCCGGGGCTGCGCCCTCCGCGGTTCGGCCGCGATGGGACCGGGGGTGTGGGGGGCGGTGCAGGCACTATCGAGGGCACCCCAAGCTTAGGGGCCTTCGCTATGCACGGCGCGCGCAGGCGCGCCGCCCGATGTGGAGAGCGGCGATTGGCTGCGCTGAGGGGGCGGGGTAAAGAAACGGGCTCTGATTGGTGATCTCGGGAAGAGGCTCCGCCTACTCTGTGCGACACCGAGCGGGGCTTTCGGGGTCCTTCCGCCGGCCCGGGCCCGTCTCGAACCCGGTGGGACGGAGGTGCCGGGTGCCGGCCGGGATCGGTTCCGCCCTTCCCGAGGCCCCGTTTAGTCGCTCCCGCTGCTCCGAGCCGCGCCTCCGGGAGGCTCCCGGGCTCGTCGGGGCCGGGGAGCAGCGAGTCAGGAAAGCACTGTGGCCGCCATGACACTTTGTCCTTCACAGTTCCTCTCATCCCTAGGGGAACCCCCGGGCCACACACCCCACCTCCAGGGTACTGCTTCCCGCAGGCTCCACGGAGGAGCTGCCGGTGCTGCAATTCTCGAGGCTTCACACCACGAGGGAGCTCTGGAAGCTCCCCCGCCTGGGCTCGGCGCTGCCCGCACCCAACACGGCGGCCTCGGTACCGGGCGCGCCTCGCTCCGCCGGCCTCGTGCCCTTATCAAAGATGGCGGCCGCCCCCGCCAGGTGCCTGCTGCCCCGATCAAAGATGGCGGCGGGCGGCTTCAGGGCCGGCGGCGCCTGCCCGGCTCCAAGATGGCGCGCGGTCACGTGACGGGGGTGTGGGCCGCGTCCCGGCGGAAGCGTGAGGGACCGAGCAGGGAACGGCGGCTGGCGGCGGCGGGAGCGGGGCTGGCGCCGCAGGAGCAGACGTGCCGCAGAGCGGGGGACACGGCTGTCACCACGGAGTCCGCCAGCAGCAACACCGCGGCGGCCACCGCCGCTTCGCGGGCCGCGGGCGCCGGGGACCAGGCAAGCTCGCTGCCCCCGCCCAGGATGCAGCGCAGGAAGGTGAGCGCGGCCGGGAAACGGGGGAGGCGGCCAGCGGGGAGACCGGCGAGCTCGGGCCGCTGCTTTCTACCCTTCCCCAGCCCCTCCGCTCCTTCTCCCGGCTCCAAAACTGGGGGGAAAATAGCGGCCTTGAGCCCCCAGCGCCCGCCTCCCGCGCTCTCTGATTGGCTGGAGCACTAGCAGGCCGCGCGCTGATTGGCTGCTGTGCCTGTCACTCATCACCCACAACGGCTACCGTTTCCCCTCCCCCGCGCCGGCAGCGGGGCCCGCCCCTTGCCGTTTCCGATTGAACACGCCCTCGGAGAGCTGGCCGTCTATTGGGCGGGTCTGCATGCCGGGCTGGCCGCTGATTGGCTACTGCTGCTGTCCATCTCCACCCCCAACGGTCACCTCCCCGCGCGAGCCTTGTTTCTCCCTTCCCCCACCGCGCCGCGGCCCCCCCAGGTTGGCGTTGCCGTGGGAGCAAGCCTCGCGCTGATTTGCTGCCGTTCGCTGTCAATCACGCGCGGTGGGGGCCCGCCTTTTTTATCCTCGAGCTGCCATTGGTGGAGCATCTTTTCGGCCCCGCCCACGCACGCTGTGATTGGCTGCGGCCCGCGCGGCTCCGCTGGGTGCAAAACAAAGCGGCGCGGGCGCCAGCGGCGCGAGGCGCCCCCCCCCCCTTCCCCTCATGGCGGCTGCGCCCCCCCAGTTCCCCTCACGGCCGCCGCCATCGCCGGCCCCTCACGGCCCTGCCCGCCCCGGGCTCCCGCAGCCTCCCACCGGCACCTGCCGCCACCCTCAGACCCCCGGTGTCCCCTCACGGTGTTACCGTTCAAGCGCACCTGGAAATTAGGCACAAACCTGGAATGGTGGGGGGAGCAAAATTAAAGGGTTTCGGTTGGAGTGTGAGCGGTTTAACGATGAGAAATGAAGTGAAATGATGTGATAGTGTTAAATAACGGTGGTAACGGAAAGGAGAAAAAATCGTAATTGCTGATGCCTGACCCCCTTCCAGATTGCTTTGGGATAATTCTGATATAATTCTGCTAATTCCTGCAGTTTGTGTCCTGGGAGTGACACCCTGTGCTGGGATATCCCTTTGGCCATGAGGGATCACCTGGCCTGTTTGCTTTGGAAACTCCTCACTGGCAGAGCAGCAGACACAAATAGAAAGAGAAAAAAGAGTCCTTGGTTTAGGATAAAGCACATAAACCCTCACAGCGCAGCTGAAGCGGCTGGGGGGCCGCGGGCAGTGCCAAATATTGACTCGTTTATGGCGGGTTTTAGCCCCGGTGCTGACGTGCGGTGTGTGCCGTTGCAGAGGAACGCGGGCAGCAGCTCGGACGGCACGGAGGACTCGGATTTCTCCACGGACCCCGAGCACACGGACAGCTCCGAGAGCGACGGCACCTCCCGGCGCTCCGCCCGCGTCACCCGCTCCTCCGCCCGCCTCAGCCAGAGCTCCCAGGGTACGCAGGGCTGCTCCGCAAACCGGGGAGCTTCCTCTTTCACCGGGGAGAGGTTCTGCTTTAACCGGGGAAAGGTTCTACTTTAACCTTCTTTAATTGGGGAAAGGCTCCTCTTTAAACCAGGGAAAGGTTCTTCTTTAACCGGGGAGAGGTTCTGCTTTAAACCGGGGAGAGGTTCTACTTTAACCGGGGAGAGGTTCTACTTCAACTGGGGAAAGGTTCCTCTTTAAACCACTGAAAGGTTCTTCTTTAACTGGGAAAAGGCTTCTCTTTAAACCAGGGAAAGGTTCTTCTTTAACCGGGGAAAGGCTTCTCTTTAAACCAGGGAGAGGTTCTTCTTTCACCGGGGAAAGGTTCTTCTTTAAACCGGGGAAAGGTTCCTCTTTAACTGGGGAAAGGCTTCTCTTTAAACCAGGGAAAGGTTCTTCTTTAAACCAGGGGAAGGGCTCCCCCTTAAACTGGGGAAAGGCTTCCCCTTAAACCAGGGAAAGGTTCTTCTTTAACTGGGGAAAGGTTCTTCTTTAAACCAGGGGAAGGGCTCCTCCTTAAACTGGGGAAAGGCTTTTCCTTAAACTGGGGAAAGGCTCCTCCTTAAACCAGGGCAAGGTTCTTCTTTAACTGGAGAAAGGCTCCCTCTTAAACTGGGGAAAGGCTATTCTTTAAACCAGGGAAAGGCTCCTCCTCAAACTGAGGAAAGGCTTTTCCTTAAACTGGGGAAAGGCTCCTCTTTAAACCAGAGAAAGGCTCTTCTTTAAACCAGAGAAAGGTTCTTCTTTAAACCAGGGGAAGGGCTCCTCTTAAACCAGGGAAAGGCTCCTCTTTAACTGGGGAAAGGCTCCTCTTTAAACCAGAGAAAGGTTCTTCTTTAAACCAGGGCAAGGCTCCTCTTTAACCAGGGAAAGGTTCTTCTTTAAACCAGGGAAAGGCTCTTCTTTAAGCCAGGGAAAGGTTCTTTAAACCAGGGAAAGGCTCCTCCTCAAACTGGGGCAAGGCTTTTCCTTAAACCAGGGTAAGGCTCTTCTTTGAACCAGGGAAAAGCTTCTCCTTAAACCAGGGCAAGGCTCCTCTTTAAACCAGGGAAAGGTTCTTCCTTAAGCCGGGGAAAGGTTCTTTCTCAAACCCAGGAAAAGTTCTTCTTTAAACTGGGGAAAGTCTCCTTAAATCGTGGAAAGGATCTTCCTCAAACCAGGGCAAGGATCTTCCTCAAACCAGGGCAAGGCTCTTCCTCAATCCAGGGCAAGGCTCTTCCTCAATCCAGGAAAAGTCTTTCCTTAAACCAAAACCAGGCTCTTCCTTAAACTGGGGCAAGGCTCCTCCTTAAACCAGGGCAAGGATCTTCCTCAAACTGGGCAAAGGCTCTTGCAGCCCCACAGAGTCCCAGGTGCAGCTCCACAGCACAGGCAATCCCGCTGTTCCCAGGGGTTCTTATCTAAACACTGATGGCTCTTATCTAAACTGAGGGATCTTTGCTTCTCCAGATAGGAGCTGGGCGCTAATTAGGGGTTAATTAAGTTGTTAAACCTGGGGAAAGCTGGTGGCACTCCAGATTGCTCCAAGTGTGCTGAGGTTTTATCAGGCAAGGCCAGGGCATGGTGGCATGGGCAGGACAGAGGCACGGGGCGTCGGTCAGCGTGGGGCAGGGGGACTGTGGGTGCCGTGGTGTGACTGTGTCCTCATGGTGACTGGGGTGTCCCCGTGGTGTGACCGGGGTGTCCTCATGGTGTAACTGGGGTGTCCCTGTGGTGTGACTGTGGTGTCCCCATGGTGTGACCATGGTCCCCGCGGTGTCCCCATGGTGTGACCGTGGTTCCCATGGTGTCCCTGCGGTGTCCCCATGGTATCCCCATGGTGTGACTGTGGTCCCTGCGGTGTCCCCATGGTGTGACTGTGGTGTCCCTGTGGTTCCTGTGGTGTGACTGTGGTGTCCCCATGGTTCCTGTGGTGTCCTTATGGTGTCCCCCCAGTGTGACTGTGTGGTTCCTGTGGTGTGACTGTGGTGTCCCCATGGTTCCTGTGGTGTCCTCATGGTGTGACTGTGTCCTCATAGTGACTGGGGTGTCCTCATGGTGTAACTGGGGTGTCCTCATGGTGACTGGGGTGTCCCCGTAGTGTGACCATGGTGTCCCCATGGTATGACTGTGGTGTCCCTGTGGTTCCTGTGGTGTGACTGTGGTGTCCCCACGGTGTGACCGTGGTTCCCGTGGTGTCCCCGTGGTGTCCCCGCGCTGTCCCCGGTGTAACGCTGCGCTCCCCCGGAGCAGACTCCAGCCCGGTGCGGAACCCGCCGGCGTTCGGGCCGGACGAGCCGGTGTACTCCACGCGGAGGGTGACCCGCAGCCAGCAGCAGCCAGCTCCTGTCACCCCCAAGAAGTACCCGCTGCGACAGACGCGCTCCTCGGGCTCCGAGACCGAGCAGGCCGTGGACTTCTCGGACAGAGGTACCCGCAGGGGCTGGGAGGGCTGGATTAGTGCCCACGGGGGCAGGGAATGCTCTGGTGGTACCTGCAGGGGCAGGGAATGCTGCATTGGAGCCCGCAGGGGCAGGGAATGCTGCATTGGAGCCCGCAGGGGCAGGGAATGCTGCATTGCAGCCCACAGGGACAGGGAATGCTCCCTTGGTGCCCACAGGGACAGGGAATGCTCTGTTGGTGCCCACAGGGACAGGGAATGCTCTGTTGGTGCCCACAGGGACAGGGAATGCTCTGTTGGTGCCCACAGGGACAGGGAATGCTCTGTTGGTGCCCACAGGGACAGGGAATGCTCTGTTGGTGCCCACAGGGACAGGGAATGCTCTGTTGGTGCCCACAGGGACAGGGAATGCTCTGTTGGTGCCCACAGGGACAGGGAATGCTCTGTTGGTGCCCACAGGGACAGGGAATGCTCCGTTGGTGCCCTCAGGGACAGGGAATGCTCCCTTGGTGCCCACAGGGGCAGGGAATGCTCCCTTGGTGCCCACAGGGGCAGGGAATGCTCTGTTGGTGCCCACAGGGACAGGGAATGCTCTGTTGGTGCCCTCAGGGACAGGGAACACTGCTCCAGGGTGGGAGAGGCTCTGTGCAGCCCCTGAGGCGTTTCTGGGAGCGTTTCTGGGAGCTCTCCCCTCAGCTGTGTCCCCTCTGCCCCTCCCCAGACACCAAAAACGCAGCGGACCACGACGAGTCCCCGCCCCGCACCCCCACGGGGAACGCGCCGTCCTCGGAGTCCGACATCGACATCTCCAGCCCCAACGTGTCCCACGACGAGAGCCTGGCCAAGGACATGTCCATGAAGGACTCGGGCAGCGACCTCTCCCACCGGCCCAAGCGCCGCCGCTTCCACGAGAGCTACAACTTCAACATGAAGTGTCCCACTCCTGGCTGCAACTCCCTGGGTAAGGCCGCACCTCGGCAGCGCTGCTCCGGGGCTGCGGCTTTGGTCGGTGTCAGTCCTGGAGACGGGCAGGGAACCAGGGGCAGGAGATTGATACCGACCAGAGCCGCGGTGTCCCCGCGGTGTCCCCGTGGTGTCCCCGTGGTGTCCCCGCGCTGTCCCCGGTGTAACGCTGCGCTCCCCCGGAGCAGACTCCAGCCCGGTGCGGAACCCGCCGGCGTTCGGGCCGGACGAGCCGGGGTACTCCACGCGGAGGGTGACACGCAGCAAGCAGCAGCCACAGAGGTACCCGCAGGGGCTGGGAGGGCTGGATTAGTGCCCACGGGGGCAGGGAATGCTCTGGTGGTACCTGCAGGGGCAGGGAATGCTGCATTGGAGCCCGCAGGGGCAGGGAATGCTGCATTGCAGCCCACAGGGACAGGGAATGCTCCCTTGGTGCCCACAGGGGCAGGGAATGCTCCCTTGGTGCCCACAGGGGCAGGGAATGCTCCCTTGGTGCCCACAGGGACAGGGAATGCTCTGTTGGTGCCCACAGGGACAGGGAATGCTCCGTTGGTGCCCTCAGGGACAGGGAATGCTCCCTTGGTGCCCACAGGGGCAGGGAATGCTCCCTTGGTGCCCTCAGGGACAGGGAATGCTCCCTTGGTGCCCACAGGGGCAGGGAATGCTCCCTTGGTGCCCACAGGGGCAGGGAATGCTCTGTTGGTGCCCACAGGGACAGGGAATGCTCTGTTGGTGCCCTCAGGGACAGGGAACACTGCTCCAGGGTGGGAGAGGCTCTGTGCAGCCCCTGAGGCGTTTCTGGGAGCGTTTCTGGGAGCTCTCCCCTCAGCTGTGTCCCCTCTGCCCCTCCCCAGACACCAAAAACGCAGCGGACCACGACGAGTCCCCGCCCCGCACCCCCACGGGGAACGCGCCGTCCTCGGAGTCCGACATCGACATCTCCAGCCCCAACGTGTCCCACGACGAGAGCCTGGCCAAGGACATGTCCATGAAGGACTCGGGCAGCGACCTCTCCCACCGGCCCAAGCGCCGCCGCTTCCACGAGAGCTACAACTTCAACATGAAGTGTCCCACTCCTGGCTGCAACTCCCTGGGTAAGGCCGCACCTCGGCAGCGCTGCTCCGGGGCTGCGGCTTTGGTCGGTGTCAGTCCTGGAGACGGGCAGGGAACCAGGGGCAGGATCAGGATTAGGAGATTGATGCTTTGGTCGGTGTCAGTCCTGGAGACGGGCAGGAACCAGGGGCGGGAGGTTGCTGCTTTGGTCAGTATCAATCTCCTGCCCCTGGTTCCTGCCCGTCTCCAGGACTGACACCGACCAAAGCAGCAATCTCCTGACCCTGATTCCCTGCCCGTCTCCAGGACTGACACCGACCAAAGCAGCAATCTCCTGACCCTGATTCCCTGCCCGTCTCCAGGACTGACACCGACCAAAGCAGCAATCTCCTGACCCTGATTCCCTGCCCGTCTCCAGGACTGACACCGACCAAAGCAGCAATCTCCTGACCCTGATTCCCTGCCCGTCTCCAGGACTGACACCGACCAAAGCAGCAATCTCCTGACCCTGATTCCCTGCCCGTCTCCAGGACTGACACCGACCAAAGCAGCAATCTCCTGACCCTGATTCCCTGCCCGTCTCCAGGACTGACACCGACCAAAGCAGCAATCTCCTGACCCTGATTCCCTGCCCGTCTCCAGGACTGACACCGACCAAAGCAGCAATCTCCTGACCCTGATTCCCTGCCCGTCTCCAGGACTGACACCGACCAAAGCAGCAATCTCCTGACCCTGATTCCCTGCCCGTCTCCAGGACTGACACCGACCAAAGCAGCAATCCTGAAAACGGGCAGGGAATCAGGGTCAGGAGATTGCTGCTTTGGTCGATGTCAGTCCTGGAAACAGACAGGAACCAGGGGCAGCAGATTGATACTGACCAAAGCAGCAATCCTGGAAATGGGCAGGGAATCGGGGTCAGGAGATTGCTGCTTTGGTTGGTGTCACTTCTGAAAATGGGCAGGAACCAGGGGCAGGAGATTGATGCTTTGGTTGGTGTCACTCCTGGAAATGGGCAGGAAATCAGGATTAGGAGATTGATGCTTTGGTCGGTGTCAGTCCTAGAAACGGGCAGGAACCAGGGTCAGGAGATTGATACTGACCAAAGCAGCAGTCCTGGAAATGGGCAGGGAATGGGGGTCAGGAGATTGCTGCTTTGGTCGGTGTCAGTCCTAGAAACGGGCAGGAACCAGGGTCAGGAGATTGATACTGACCAAAGCAGCAGTCCTGGAAATGGGCAGGGAATGGGGGTCAGGAGATTGCTGCTTTGGTCGGGGTCAGTCCTAGAAACGGGCAGGAACCAGGGTCAGGAGATTGATGCTTTGGTCTCTGTCACTCCTGGAAACGGGCAGGGAATCAGGGGCAGGAGATTGACACCGACCAGAGCAGCAGTCCTGAGAATGGGCAGGGAACCGGGGTTAGGAGATTGATGCTTTGGTCTGTCTCACTCCTGAAAACGGGCAGGAATCAGGGGCAGGAGATTGATACCGACCAGAGCAGCACTCCTGAGAATGGACAGGGAATCAGGGTCAGGAGATTGATGCTTTGGTCTCTGTCACTCCTGGAAATGGCAGGAACCAGGGTCGGGAGATTGACACCGACCAAAGCAGCAATCCTGAAAACGGGCAGGGATTCAGGGTCAGGAGATTGACACCGACCAGAGCAGCAGTCCTGGAAACGGGCAGGAATCAGGGGCAGGAGATTGCTGCATTGGTCTCTGTCACTCCTGGAAACGGGCAGGAATCAGGGTCAGGAATGCCAAGGAGCAGGTCTGGAGAAGGGATGTGAAGCATAAATACAGGGATGTTGTTCCTGGAGGTGTTTTCTGTTTTGGAGGGTGATTGGTCACTGTCACTCCTGAAAACGGGCAGGAATCAGGGTCAGGAATGCCAAGGAGCAGGTCTGGAGAAGGGATGTGAAGCATAAATACAGGGATGTTGTTCCTGGAGGTGTTTTCTGTTTTGGAGGGTGACAGGATGAGGGACCAGATAGGAGGGTGAGCACAGGTGTGGGAGGAGAAGCCTCAGGTTTGTGGGCAGGGCACTGGTTTTTGCCAGAAACAAGATTTCAGTGCCAAATTATTGCACTCCCATCCCTGGCTGCTTTGGCTTAGTGTCAGAAAGGTTTTCCTTCCTTTTTAAACAGGAAGTTTCCTCCTCCTATCCCCCGTCAGTGATCCTGTGAGGGATCTGCCCATGTGGGAGACTTCCTCCATCCCTTTGGGATCATTTGTCACAAGCTTTGTTGTTTTGCTGACCCCTTGCAGGACACCTGACCGGGAAGCACGAGCGCCACTTCTCCATCTCGGGGTGCCCTCTCTACCACAACCTCTCAGCAGATGAGTGCAAGGTAAACGTGGATGGTTTTGCCTTTGATTTCTCCTCCTTTGGGATTTTTAGGGTGAAATGTTGATCCTCGTGATCTGGGAGCAGCAAACAGTTCACACCCTCGTGCTGCTGTGCTTGCCTGTGAGGCAGCAGCATTTGTGTGTCACCCCTGGAGGGGCAGGGGGTGACAGGAGGTGGCTGCAGCCCTGACAGGTGAATTTTGGCCCCCAGGTGCGGGCACAGAGCCGGGACAAGCAGATTGAGGAGCGGATGTTGGCCCACAGGCAGGATGACAACAACAGGCACGCCACCAGGCACCAGGTGAGGGCCTGGGCTGGGGGCTGGGGGCCTGGGCTCCCTTCCCACATCCTGAGGAGCTGCTGGGGCAGTCCTGACCCTGCCCAGCTGCCATTCCAGAGGGAAAATTCCCTGGATCCCCTCAGTGAGGTTGGAGCAGGCAGGGAGAGCAGAGCTGTGTTCTCAGGATGATCCTTTCCCTGAGTTTGGATGTGCTGGACCAGGGAATTCCTGCAGAGCTGTAAACTGCAATTTCCCTCTGAGTAACCAGCAGAGAGCCAGAGCAGGGGAATGACATTTCCCAGTCCCTGAGTCAGCTGGGAGCTGTTCCCCAGCACGGAGCATTCCGTGGGGAGCTCACCCTGTCCTGTGGTGGGGAGGAAAATTTCCTGCTTTGCATTCCTGTGCTGCAGCTGCAGTGCCCTGTGATTAGCAGAGGATCTGGTTCTGACCTCGTGGAATGGCAGCCAGGGTGGAATTCTTCGGGGTGGGCAGGGAAGGGGGAGGTTTGGAGGGGCTGGAGCCTCTCAAGGCCCCACCTGGGGTTTCTTTCAGGCCCCCACAGAGAGGCAGCTGCGCTACAAAGAGAAGGTGGCTGAGCTCAGGAAGAAGAGGAACTCGGGGCTCAGCAAGGAGCAGAAGGAGAAATACATGGTAAAAGCAGGAATTCCATCCTTTCACTCCCCCTGGGATGCAGTTTGGCTCTCCCAGTCATCCTGCAGCACTCCCAGCTAGAAAATCTGCAGGATGCAGCAGCTCAGCAGCCAAAGTTGCTGTGCTGTGGTTTTGCAGGAGCACAGGCAGACCTATGGCAACACCAGGGAGCCTCTCCTGGAGAACCTGACCAGCGAGTACGACCTGGAGCTGTTCCGCAGGGCCCAGGCCCGCGCCTCCGAGGACCTGGTGAGACCCTGCCCCAGGCACAGCTCTGGGGCCTGGCAGGCAGCACGGGGAGCCAGCCGGGCTGGGGGTGAGTGCTGGAGCTGAGCTCTGCGCTCAGGAATGTGTGGTGACATTCCAGGGGTGCTCCCAGGGGACAGTGGCAGCTTCAGCCTCCCTGCTGAGGGCTGGTGACAACAAAAGCCGCCTCAGCCTGTGACTGAGCTCATGGGCTGGTGTTGCTGAGGCTCCTGAGGAGCTTCCCAAAGCCACATCACATTCCAGAGAGGGATCAAAAGATCCTTTGATGCTTTCCTGGGACAGTTGGGGTGCCTGGGGCAGAGCCCTGGGCGGTGTCACAGAGCCACAGGATGGACTGGGCTGGAAAAGCCTCTGAGATCATCGAGTGCCACCCGTGACCTGACACCACCTTGCCACCAAGTGCCACATCCACCTCCAGGGACAGTGACACTTCCCTGGGCAGCCCCTTCCAGTTCCCAATCCCTCTTTCTGGGAAGAAATTCCTCCTGATGTGCAGCCTGGCACAGCTGCCCTGGCACAGCCTGGGGCCGTGTCCTCCTGTCCTGTTGTTCCCTGGGAGCAGAGCCTGGCCCTGCCCTGGCTGCACCCTCCTGCTGGGGTTATGGAGAGCCAGCAGATCTCCCCTGATCCTTTTCTCCAGGATAAACACCCCCAGCTCCCTCAGCTGCTCTCACAGTACCTGTGTCCTCTCCCTGGGATCAGGAAAGGAGCAGGGAGTGTCGAGGAGCTGTAGGAATTTAACAAAACACGAATTCAGTAAACTTAAAACAGATCTCCTCCAGGAAAACAAATCCCAATTCCCCTCCTGCTGCTTTGAGTTCACTTTTTGGCTAACCCTGCTTTCCCCCGGGGGGGCAGGAGAAGCTGAGGCTGCAGGGGCAGATCACCGAGGGCAGCAACATGATCAAGACCATCGCGTTCGGGCGCTACGAGCTGGACACGTGGTACCACTCGCCCTACCCCGAGGAGTACGCGCGCCTCGGGCGCCTCTACATGTGCGAGTTCTGCCTCAAGTACATGAAGAGCCAGACCATCCTGCGCAGGCACATGGTGAGGGCTGGGGCAGGGAACGGCTCATTCCCACTGGGAATGCTGCTGGGGGGTCAGGGAGGGCTCAGTCCTGATGGGGGGCTGCTGTGGGATCAGGGAGGGCTCATTCCTGCTGGGAATGCTGCTGGGGGGTCAGGGAATGGCTCAGTCCTGATGGGGGGCTGCTGTGGGGTCAGGGAGGGCTCAGTCCTGCTGGGAATGCTGCTGTGGGGTCAGGGAATGGCTCAGTCCTGCTGGGAATGCTGGTGTGGGACCAGGGAACAGCTCATTCCCACTGGGAATGCTGCTGGGGGGTCAGGGAATGGCTCAGTCCTGCTGGGAATGCTGCTGGGGGGTCAGGGAATGGCTCAGTCCTGCTGGGAATGCTGGTGTGAGGTCAGGGAGAGCTCAGTCCTGATGGGAATGCTGGTGTGAGGTCAGGGAGAGCTCAGTCCTACTGGGAATGCTGCTGTGGGACCAGAGAACAGCTCAGTCCTGCTGGGAATGCTGCTGGGGGGTCAGGGAATGGCTCAGTCCTGCTGGGAATGCTGCTGTGGGGTCAGGGAGGGCTCATTCCTACTGGGAATGCTGCTGTGGGATCAGGGAATGGCTCAGTCCTACTGGGAATGCTGCTGGGGGGTCAGGGAGGGCTCAGTCCTGCTGGGAATGCTGCTGTGGGACCAGGGAACAGCACATTCCCACTGGGAATGCTGCTGTGGGGTCAGGGAATGGCTCAGTCCTGCTGGGAATGCTGCTGTGGGTCCAGGGAACAGCTCAGTCCTGCTGGGAATGCTGCTGTGAATTCCTGCAGGGAATGGCCCGGCCAGGCTCAGCCCGTGCACATGGCAGTGCCTGACACCAGGCTGGCGGGGCTGGGTTGCAGTGGCAGGCCAGGCTGCAGCTCCCTGTCACCCTGCAGCAGCTGCTGTCCCCAGGCCAGCGGTGACAGCCCCAATTCTGTCCCTGTCCCAGGCCAAGTGTGTCTGGAAGCATCCCCCGGGGGACGAGATCTACCGCAAGGGCTCCATCTCTGTCTTCGAGGTGGATGGCAAGAAGAACAAGGTGAGTGGGACCTGCTGGCCCTGCAGGCAGTCCAGGTGGCCCTGCAGGCAGCCCAGGTGGCCCTGCAGGCAGCCCAGGTGGTCCTGCAGACAGCCCAGGTGGCCCTGCAGACAGCCCAGGTGGCCCTGCTGGCCCTGCTCCCAGAGGGGCTGCTGCAGCCTGGCCGTTCCTGCAGTTTTGCTGCTGCTCCTGTGCTGCTCCTGCAGCTCCCTCTGTGTCTCACCCAGCAGAGGTGAGGGGCAGCATCCAGGCTCTTCCACTTCCATCACCAATGGAATTGTTTCCTGGCCCAGCTGCTCTTGTTTCCCCATCATTTCTCAGATGATTCTGAGGAGTTTTTGTCCTTTCCCAGGTGGTTTTGCCCACGTTTGGGGTATCCCACTGGAGTAAACACCTGCATCTCTTTTCTGTGCCCAGATCTACTGTCAGAACCTGTGTCTGCTGGCAAAGCTTTTCCTGGACCACAAAACCCTTTATTATGATGTGGAACCCTTCCTTTTCTACGTCATGACAGAGGCTGACAACACTGGCTGCCACCTGATCGGGTACTTCTCCAAGGTCAGTGGAAAACACTCATCCCCCACCTCACTAAAATGGGATTTAGGGCCCCCTCAGCAGCACTGAATCCCTTTTGCAGTCTCAGGGTTTGCTGCTTTTGGGAGCAGATGAAAGTCCAAGGCTGAGCTGCAGGGGTTGTTGTGTTTGCTGAGGGATTGCAGGTGCTGTGCTGCTCCATCTTTCCTCATTCCCAGCAAAAACCAAACCAGCTCCAAGGAACTGTAGTTCCCAGGAAGCAGAGTGGTGTCTTCATGAGGGAGAAAGAAACTGGGAAGGAATGTGGAGAAAAATACATTAAAATAAATATTAATCACCATGATTTTTTTTTATATAAAACAAAACAGCTAAAGGAATAAAAATCCTGAGCTCTGCCCTTCCTCTCTGCTCTTGTTTCCAGGAGAAGAATTCCTTCCTGAACTACAACGTGTCCTGCATCCTGACCATGCCCCAGTACATGAGACAAGGCTATGGCAAAATGCTCATTGACTTCAGTGAGTGTGGGGGGAAATTCCAGGGACAAATTCCTCCAGCTCCACCAGGAAATCTCCCCTGGCTGCTGCTGCTGGAGCAGCTTCCACCCTGCTTCACTTCTGAGTCGTTTAAATATGGTTATTTTTATATTTTTTAGGCTATTTGCTGTCTAAAGTAGAAGAGAAAGTTGGCTCCCCAGAGCGTCCCCTGTCTGACCTGGGCCTGATCAGCTACAGGAGCTACTGGAAGGAAGTTCTGCTGCGGTACCTGCACAACTTCCAGGGCAAGGAGATCTCCATCAAAGGTCAGGGGGAGCTTTGGGAACACCCCCGTGCCCCTCAGGCCTGCCTCACCCACCCAAGTGTTTGTGGAGCACTGAGTTTCATGGGATGTTCCTGTGGTTGGGAATGGCTCCTTCCCAGCCCTGCCAGCAGCAGAGATGGGCCATGTGCAGCACTTTGGTAGGATTAATTGGCTTCTTGATGAAAAAAACTGCAATTTTAAAAAGATTCAGCAAAAAACTTCATCCAGCTGTGTATTAGAATGTTTATTTTAACAACACAAAAAAAAAATGGCTCCAGCGGCCAATATTGTGAATATTTGGCCTTTTTTTGATGGCATTTCTCTGTTGGTGGCACCTGGGAGGACATGGAGTTTCCTGGGGATATGAGGTACCCTGCCAAAGCAGGATTGCACCTTCTCTCAGGGGATTTGTTACAGATCCCAAACCCAGCACCCCCAAACCCTGCCATCCTGGCTGTGCCTGCTCAGTCCCACATTCCTGAGGGAATTCCACCGAGCTGCTGCTGGCCCAGGGTCTGGGGCTGTGTCAGAGGCTCTGGGTGGGCTCTGATTGCAGAGATCAGCCAGGAGACTGCTGTGAACCCCGTGGACATCGTGAGCACCCTGCAGGCCCTGCAGATGCTCAAGTACTGGAAGGGCAAACACCTGGTCCTCAAGAGACAGGTGAGCCTGGGTTTCCTGGGGCACCTCCCTTCGCCTCCTCCTTCCCTTGCTGGAACCAGGGCTCCCCCAGGAGACTGCTGTGAACCCCGTGGACATCGTGAGCACCCTGCAGGCCCTGCAGATGCTCAAGTACTGGAAGGGCAAACACCTGGTCCTCAAGAGACAGGTGAGCCTGGGTTTCCTGGGGCACCTCCCTTCGCCTCCTCCTTCCCTTGCTGGAACCAGGGCTCCTTGGGTTCTGCATTCCTCCTTTCCCTTGCTGGAACCAGGGCTCCCTGGGTTCTCCATCCCTCCTTCTCCTTGCTGGAACCATGGCTCCCTGGGTTCTCCTCCTTTTCCTTACTGGAATCAGGGCTCCTTGGGTTCTGCATTGCTCCTTTCCCTTACTGGAATCAGGGCTCCTTGGGTTCTGCATTGCTCCTTTCCCTTACTGGAATCAGGGCTCCTTGGGTTCTGCATTGCTCCTTTCCCTTACTGGAATCAGGGCTCCTTGGGTTCTCCATTGCTCCTTTCCCTTACTGGAATCAGGGCTCCTTGGGTTCTCCATTGCTCCTTTCCCTTACTGGAATCAGGGCTCCTTGGGTTCTGCATTGCTCCTTTCCCTTACTGGAATCAGGGCTCCTTGGGTTCTCCTCCTTTTCCTTACTGGAATCAGGGCTCCTTGGGTTCTCCATTCCTCCTTCTCCTTGCTGGAACCAGGGCGCCTTGGGTTTTCCTCCTTCCCTTGCTGGAACCAGGGTTCCTTCGGTTCTCCTCCTTTCCCTTGCTGGAATTAGGGCTTCCATGGATTCTCCATCCCTCCTTTTCCTTGCTGGAACCAGGGCTCCCTTGGCTTCTCCTCCTTTTCCTTACTGGAATCAGGGCTCCTTGGGTTCTCCATTCCTCCTTCTCCTTGCTGGAACCAGGGCTCCTTGGGTTCTCCATCCCTCCTTCTCCTTGCTGGAACCAGGGCTCCTTGGGTTCTCCATCCCTCCTTCTCCTTGCTGGAACCATGGCTCCTTGGGTTCTCCATTCCTCCTTCTCCTTGCTGGAATCAGGGCTCCCTGGGTTCTCCATCCCTCCTTCCCTTGATGGAATCAGGGCTTCCATGGACTCTCCATTCCTCCTTCTCCTTGCTGGAATCAGGGCTCCTTGGGTTCTGCATTGCTCCTTTCCCTTACTGGAATCAGGGCTCCTTGGGTTCTCCTCCTTTTCCTTACTGGAATCAGGGCTCCTTGGGTTCTCCATTCCTCCTTCTCCTTGCTGGAACCAGGGCTCCTTGGGTTCTCCATCCCTCCTTCTCCTTGCTGGAACCAGGGCTCCTTGGGTTCTCCATCCCTCCTTCTCCTTGCTGGAACCATGGCTCCTTGGGTTCTCCATTCCTCCTTCTCCTTGCTGGAATCAGGGCTCCCTGGGTTCTCCATCCCTCCTTCCCTTGATGGAATCAGGGCTTCCATGGACTCTCCATTCCTCCTTCTCCTTGCTGGAATCAGGGCTCCTTGGGTTCTGCATTGCTCCTTTCCCTTACTGGAATCAGGGCTCCTTGGGTTCTCCATTCCTCCTTTCCCTTGCTGGAACCAGGGCTCCCTGGGTTCTGCATTCCTCCTTTCCCTTGCTGGAACCAGGGCTCCTTGGGTTCTCCATCCCTCCTTTCCCTTGCTGGAATCAGGGCTCCTTGGCTTCTCTCCTTCCCTTGCTGGAACCAGGGCTCCTTGGGTTCTCCATCCCTCTTTCTCCTTGCTTGGAACCAGGGCTCCCTGGGTTCTCCATCCCTCCTTCTCCTTGCTGGAACCAGGGCTCCTTGGGTTCTCCTCCTTTTCCTTACTGGAACCAGGGCTCCTTGGGTTCTCCTCCTTTCCCTTGCTGGAATCAGGGCTCCTTGGGTTCTCCATTCCTCCTTCTCCTTGCTGGAACCAGGGCTCCCTGGGTTCTCCATTCCTCCTTCTCCTTGCTGGAACCAGGGCTCCTTGGGTTTTCCTCCTTCCCTTGCTGGAACCAGGGTTCCTTCGGTTCTCCTCCTTTCCCTTGCTGGAATTAGGGCTTCCATGGATTCTCCATCCCTCCTTTTCCTTGCTGGAATCAGGGCTCCCTTGGGTTCTCCATTGCTCCTTGCTGGAATCAGGGCTTCCCTGTCTTCTCCAGCCTGCTCGTCTCATCTCCAAGTGAAACAGGAGTGGGAATCTGACCTCATTCTTCAGCAGGGCAGGAATGAGCCCTGCAGGACGCCCCAAAATCCCACCCTGAGCATCCCTGGGAGGGGTATCCAAACTCCCCTGGAGCTCTGGCAGCCTGGGGGCCCTGCCCATTCCCTGTTCCAGTGCCCACCACCCTCTGGATGAGGAACTTTTCCCTAAAACCCAACCCAAACCTCCCTGACCTCCTGATGGAGCCCTGCATGGCTCCTGCCTGTTCCCTCCCTGACACATCCCTGGGTGGGGGGGTTTGAACCCCAAACCTTCTCCCTTCCCTGGGGGGGCCCTTTGGAGCTGGATTGAAGGGCTTCTGGAAAGCTGCATGGAGGAGAAATTGTTCTTTTGGGGTAACTTTGGTGTTACTGTGCTGTTACTGTGCTGATATTTGGTCTTGTTTTGGTGTTACTCTGCTGTTATTTTGGTGTTATTCTGCTGTTGCTTTGGTGTTACTCTGGTGCCGTTTTGGCCTTGTTTTGGTGTTACTCTGGTGTTGCTTTGGTGTTACTCTGGTGCCGTTTTGGCCTTGTTTTGGTGTTACTCTGGTGTTGCTTTGGTGTTACTCTGGTGCCGTTTTGGCCTTGTTTTGGTGTTACTCTGGTGTTGCTTTGGTGTTACTCTGGTGCCGTTTGGTCTTGTTTTGGTGTAACTCTGCTGTTCCTGTGCCGATCCTTTGAGGCATTAATGGCTGAGCCCCCACCCCTGCGTGGCACTGTCCCAGGGCTGATTCCCCACCAGGACCCCCCGACCCTGAGCTGTCCCTCCCTGCTCTCCCCAGGACCTGATCGATGAGTGGATCGCCAAGGAGGCCAAGAGGTCCAACAGCAACAAGACCATGGATCCCAGCTGCCTGAAGTGGACCCCTCCCAAGGGCACCTAAGTGTCCCCAGCAGAGCAGGGCCGCAGGGATGCGTGTGCTGCCGTGGTGGCTGGCTGCTGCAGTGTCCCCAGGACGGGTCACCCCTCTCCATTCCTCCTTCTCCTTGCTGGAATCAGGGCTCCCTGGGTTCTCCATCCCTCCTTCCCTTGATGGAATCAGGGCTTCCATGGACTCTCCATTCCTCCTTCTCCTTGCTGGAATCAGGGCTCCTTGGGTTCTGCATTGCTCCTTTCCCTTACTGGAATCAGGGCTCCTTGGGTTCTCCATTCCTCCTTTCCCTTGCTGGAATCAGGGCTCCTTGGCTTCTCTCCTTCCCTTGCTGGAATTAGGGCTTCCATGGATTCTCCATCCCTCCTTTTCCTTGCTGGAACCAGGGCTCCCTTGGCTTCTCCTCCTTTTCCTTACTGGAATCAGGGCTCCCTTGGGTTCTCCTCCTTTTCCTTACTGGAATCAGGGCTTCCATGGATTCACCATTCTTCCTTCCCTTGCTGGAGTCAGGGCTTCGATAGATTCTCCATCCCTCCTTTCCCTTGCTGGAACCAGGGCTCCTTGGGTTCTCCTCCTTCCCTTGCTGGAATCAGGGTTCCTTCGGTTCTCCTCCTTCCCTTGCTGGAATTAGGGCTTCCATGGATTCTCCATCCCTCCTTTTCCTTGCTGGAATCAGGGCTCCCTTGGGTTCTCCATTGCTCCTTGCTGGAATCAGGGCTTCCCTGTCTTCTCCAGCCTGCTCGTCTCATCTCCAAGTGAAACAGGAGTGGGAATCTGACCTCATTCTTCAGCAGGGCAGGAATGAGCCCTGCAGGACACCCCAAAGTCCCACCCTGAGCATCCCTGGGAGGGGTATCCAAACTCCCCTGGAGCTCTGGCAGCCTGGGGGCCCTGCCCATTCCCTGTTCCAGTGCCCACCACCCTCTGGATGAGGAACTTTTCCCTAAAACCCAACCCAAACCTCCCTGACCTCCTGATGGAGCCCTGCATGGCTCCTGCCTGTTCCCTCCCTGACACATCCCTGGGTGGGGGGGTTTGAACCCCAAACCTTCTCCCTTCCCTGGGGGGGCCCTTTGGAGCTGGATTGAAGGGCTTCTGGAAAGCTGCATGGAGGAGAAATTGTTCTTTTGGGGTAACTTTGGTGTTACTGTGCTGTTACTGTGCTGATATTTGGTCTTGTTTTGGTGTTACTCTGCTGTTATTTTGGTGTTATTCTGCTGTTGCTTTGGTGTTACTCTGGTGCCGTTTTGGTCTTGTTTTGGTGTTACTCTGCTGTTATTTTGGTGTTATTCTGCTGTTGCTTTGGTGTTACTCTGGTGCCGTTTTGGCCTTGTTTTGGTGTAACTCTGCTGTTTCCTTACTGGAATCAGGGCTCCCTTGGGTTCTCCTCCTTTTCCTTACTGGAATCAGGGCTTCCATGGATTCACCATTCTTCCTTCCCTTGCTGGAGTCAGGGCTTCGATAGATTCTCCATCCCTCCTTTCCCTTGCTGGAACCAGGGCTCCTTGGGTTCTCCTCCTTCCCTTGCTGGAATCAGGGTTCCTTCGGTTCTCCTCCTTCCCTTGCTGGAATTAGGGCTTCCATGGATTCTCCATCCCTCCTTTTCCTTACTGGAATCAGGGCTCCCTTGGCTTCTCCTCCTTTTCCTTACTGGAATCAGGGCTCCCTTGGGTTCTCCTTTGCTCCTTTTCCTTGCTGGAATCAGGGCTTCCCTGTCTTCTCCAGCCTGCTCGTCTCATCTCCAAGTGAAACAGGAGTGGGAATCTGACCTCATTCTTCAGCAGGGCAGGAATGAGCCCTGCAGGACACCCCAAAGTCCCACCCTGAGCATCCCTGGGAGGGGTATCCAAACTCCCCTGGAGCTCTGGCAGCCTGGGGGCCCTGCCCATTCCCTGTTCCAGTGCCCACCACCCTCTGGATGAGGAACTTTTCCCTAAAACCCAACCCAAACCTCCCTGACCTCCTGATGGAGCCCTGCATGGCTCCTGCCTGTTCCCTCCCTGACACATCCCTGGGTGGGGGGGTTTGAACCCCAAACCTTCTCCCTTCCCTGGGGGGCCCTTTGGAACTGGATTGAAGGGCTTCTGGAAAGCTGCATGGAGGAGAAATTGTTCTTTTGGGGTAACTTTGGTGTTACTGTGCTGTTACTGTGCTGATATTTGGTCTTGTTTTGGTGTTACTCTGCTGGTACTCTGGTGTTGCTTTGGTGTTCCTCTGGTGCCGTTTTGGCCTTGTTTTGGTGTAACTCTGCTGTTATTTTGGTGCTGTTTCGGTCTTGTTTTGGTGTTACTCTGCTGGTACTCTGGTGTTGCTTTGGTGTTCCTCTGGTGCCGTTTTGGCCTTGTTTTGGTGTAACTCTGCTGTTATTTTGGTGTTTCTCTGCTGGTACTCTGGTGTTGCTTTGGTGTTACTCTGGTGCCGTTTTGGCCTTGTTTTGGTGTTACTCTGGTGTTGCTTTGCTGTTACTCTGGTGCTGTTTTGGTGTTACTCTGCTGTTGCTTTGGTGTTACTCTGGTGCCGTTTTGGTCTTGTTTTGTTGTTACTCTGGTGTTACTCTAGTGCCGTTTTGGCCTTGTTTTGGTGTTACTCTGGTGTTGCTTTGCTGTTACTCTGGTGCCGTTTTGGCCTTGTTTTGGTGTAACTCTGCTGTTCCTGTGCCGTTCCTGTGCCAATCCTTTGAGGCATTAATGGCTGAGCCCCCACCCCTGCGTGGCACTGTCCCAGGGCTGATTCCCCACCAGGACCCCCCGACCCTGAGCTGTCCCTCCCTGCTCTCCCCAGGACCTGATCGATGAGTGGATCGCCAAGGAGGCCAAGAGGTCCAACAGCAACAAGACCATGGATCCCAGCTGCCTGAAGTGGACCCCTCCCAAGGGCACCTAAGTGTCCCCAGCAGAGCAGGGCCGCAGGGATGCGTGTGCTGCCGTGGTGGCTGGCTGCTGCAGTGTCCCCAGGACGGGTCACCCCCGTGTCCCTGTGTCCCCCCGGTTCTGAGGAACTCGCGTGGTCCGGCCTCAGTGAGGCCGCGAGGACTGGAAGAGGCTGGGAGCCCCAGGAAGCTGAGGAGCTCTGACTGCTGGGCCTGTCCCTGTCCCTGCTGTCCTGCTCCGTCCCTCTGTCCCTCCTGCAGCTTCCCTGGCTGCTGGGCTCACCCCTGGCTCTTGGACAGTGCTGGAAATGCTTCTGTGGGGCAGCCCTGCGGTGACTTGGGGCTGCTCCTGTCCCATTCTGTCTGAAATAGCTTTAGTGGGGTCATTGCCCCTCTCCCAGCAGTTTTCCCTAGGATCCAGCAGATCTTCACTTAGTTCCTGTTGTACAGCCAGAATTGCACCTCCTGCACCTGAGGGAGTCACTGGGTGTTGCTGTCACCCCCTCCTGGAGCCACCACAGCCCTGCTGGAAGCACCTCTGGAGTAGAATTCCCATTTTTCCTGGTGTGTATCTTGTGGAATTGCTGAGTTCCTGTACATAAACCACCTGCTGAGTGTATTCCCCTGGAAATGTTTTTCCCAGAGCAGCCTTCCTGGAATTGCAGGTCCCTTTTTATTGGGAGTTTTTTTCCCTCTCCAGGCTGAAGGAATCCAAACTTTGGCCTTTTCCAAAGAGCCACAGGAACTCCCAGCACCAATTCCAGGAGCTGTTGGGCTGCTGTGCTCCAGGGAGGGATGGATTCCCTGGCAGAGCAAAAAAATAGCTTTGATTCCTCCCTCCCATCAGCAGAAATATCCCAGAATGGCCTCCCAGTAAAACCACTGTCCTCATGCCACCCATCCCTGTGTGGCTCCAGTGTCACTGGCAGAGGGGACAGCCCTGGGAAGGGGCTGAATTCCCTGATCCCAGTGCTGAATTCCCTGGTCCCAGTGCTGGTTTCAGTGATCCCAGTGCTGGTTTCAGTGATCCCAGTGCTGATTTCAGTGATCCCAGTGCTGATTCCTCCATCCCAGTGCTGATTTCAGTGATCCCAGTGCTGATTTCAGTGATCCCAGTGCTGATTCCTCCATCCCAGTGCTGATTTTGCTGATTTCCTCCATCCCAGTGCTGATTTCAGTGATCCCAGTGCTGATTCCTCCATCCCAGTGCTGATTTCCTCCATCCCAGTGCTGATTTTGCTGATTTCCTCCATCCCAGTGCTGATTTCAGTGATCCCAGTGCTGATTTCAGTGATCCCAGTGCTGATTCCTCCATCCCAGTGCTGATTTCCTCCATCCCAGTGCTGATTTCCTCCATCCCAGTGCTGATTCCTCCATCCCAGTGCTGATTTCCTCCATCCCAGTGCTGATTTCAGTGATCCCAGTGCTGATTCCTCCATCCCAGTGATTCCTCACAGAACAGGCTGTGAAATGAAGCACTCCTTGGCCGGTGGGAGCCATTCCCATTAACCACTGCCCCATCCTGACTGGAAAACTTCCCTCCTGCTTCCCTGCCTTTCTCCTGGACCCCGCCAGCCCCTGGCTGCTGGCTGTGGCCCTCGTGGGCATTAGTGACTCTGCTGTCCCTGTCCCCAGCTCAGATTCCCAGGAATGTCCCGGGCAGGGGGGAGGCCGTGCTGCTCCTGTACCCACTCCTCAATAAAAGCATGTTCCTGCTCCGGCCGTGTTCCTGCTTCCCCTGCAGCCCCCGGAGCAGCAGCTGCTCCCCCGTGTCCCCGGGGCTGCTCTGAGACCCCCGGGGCTGCTCTGAGACCCCCGGGGCTGCTCTGAGACCCCCCCGGGGCTGCTCTGAACCCCCCCGGGGCTGCTCTGAGACCCCCGGGGCTGCTCTGAACCCCCCCGGGGCTGCTCTGAGACCCCTGGGGCTGCTCTGAGACCCCCGGGGCTGCTCTGACCCCCCCAGGCCTGGGGGCTTTGGGATTGGGGCTGGAGCAGCCTCGGGGTTGAGTCTTTTCCCAGATATCCAGCTCTGGAGTGTTGCAGTGCTTTGAGACTTTTCCATGAAGGAATTCTCCCTGATACCTCCCCTGGCACCTGAGGCTGTTCTTGGGACCAGAGGAATTTTCCCCACAGGGAATTTTCCCCTTTTTCCATGAAGGAATTCTCCCTGATACCTCCCCTGGCACCTGAGGCTGTTCTTGGGACCAGAGGAGTTTTCCCCACACTGAGGGAAAGCTGCTGAAGGAAAATTCCCTGAGATCTCCCTGGATTTCCAGGAGCTGCTCGGTGGCTCCTGATCCTTCTCCCCCTGGAATTCCTGCTGGCTTCTCCCTTTTGCTGGGGTGCTTTGGGGCAGGATGTGGTGGGGAGCAGGGGCTGATATTCCCAAAAGGAACCGGGGGAAGCAGGAAGAACCGGGAGCTAAATCCATGCAGTGACTTCAGCTGTTCCTATTGTCACCCTCAGCCCTTGGGGACAATCCCTGTGCCCCCAGCCCCCCCCCTCCATCCCAAACCCACGGAAAGAGCTGGAACAGCCTCTCCTGGCCAGGGAAGAGCAGCTCTATTCCTGGGATCATCCCCTGTCATTATCTCAGCCTTTCCTGCCCTCCCCAGCCCGGCCCACGCTGCCCCGAAACCGCCAGAGAGGTGCACGAGAGAAAAAAACGGGAGCCAGGAGAGGGAAAAGAAAACATCCCCAGGAAACCACGGATCCCAAAGGCTCCTGCGGCTTTCCTGCAGCTCAGCTCAGCCCCCGGCGGGCCCTGGCACCGCCCCGCAGTGCCCGGGGAGCCAGAACCTTCCCGGGTGGAGCCGGATTTGGGATCACAGCTCGTGGGTTTGGGGTGCAGGGATCCTAAATCCCGGCCGTGGGCAGGACGCCTTCCAGCATCCCAGGCTGCTCCAAGCCCCGTCCTTGGGCACTTCCAGGGATGGAGCACTCCTGTTTTATCTGGAAAACCCATTCCAGCCCCTCATCCCCGCCTGCTGCTCCCAGTTCTCCCAGTTTGGGCGCATCCTTTCCTGAGCAGGGCGCTGGGAGAGCAGGCTTCTCCCAGCCTGAGCCCGGAGCAGCTGGGAAGGAGCAGGATCCCAGCAAAATCCGGGATTTTGGGCAATTCCAGCGAGTTCCTCATGAGCCAAACTCCCCGGGAAGTCCCGGGAAGTGTCAGTGAGGGGAAAAAAACCTTCCCGAGGTTTTCCAGCAGGACTGGGACGCCGGGAAGGGCAGCAGAGGGTGCTGCTTCCCCGGGCAAAGGCAGGGAACTCCGGCAGCTCGGGGTGCCTTTTGCGGGAATTTATCCCTGATTTCTGGGCAAAAAGAGAGGGATATTGGGAACGGGGGAAGGACACGGGGAGAGGGACAATCGCTGAGCTGTGCTGGGGGTGTTTGAGCCATTCCCGGGGTGTTGGTGAGGAATCAGAGGATCATCAGGGAATCATCACGGGATCATCAGGGGATCATCAGGGGATCACCTGGTGATCCTGAGGGGGTTCCCAAAACCCCGATCCCAATAACCGCTCCAAGGTTCCGGGATCATCGGGAAAGGCTCCTCTGCACGGAGCCCTGGAGTTGTTTGGGCAGAGCTTGGACACTGGGATTCTCCAGGGCAGCTCCGCCTGCGGATCCGGCTGGATCAGGAAGTTTTCCTGGTGATTCACCGGGAGCTGCTGCTCCCTGTGAGTCACTGCAGAGGGGGAGGGAGGGAGGGAGGGATCCAGGGATGGATGGATGGAGGATGGAGGATGGATGGAGGATGGAGGATGGATGGAGGATGGAGGATGGATGGAGGATGGAGGATGGATGGAGGATGGAGGATGGATGGAGGATGGAGGATGGATGGAGGATGGAGGATGGATGGAGGATGGAGGATGGATGGAGGATGGAGGATGGATGGAGGATGGAGGATGGATGGAGGATGGAGGATGGATGGAGGATGGAGGATGGATGGAGGATGGAGGATGGATGGAGGATGGAGGATGGATGGAGGATGGAGGATGGATGGAGGATGGAGGATGGATGGAGGATGGAGGATGGATGGAGGATGGAGGATGGATGGAGGATGGAGGATGGATGGAGGATGGAGGATGGATGGAGGATGGAGGATGGATGGAGGATGGAGGATGGATGGAGGATGGAGGATGGATGGAGGATGGAGGATGGATGGAGGATGGATGGATGGATGGAGAAAGGGATGAATTCTTGGATGGATCCTCATTCCAAACTGAAAACGGGAATTGCTGCTGTGGCTCCATCCCAGTGGGAGAAGAAAGAAATAAGAATTTGCAGAAAAAGAGCCTCAGGATGAGATTTTTCCACCAAAAAAGGTGTTTGGCTGCCCAGCGCTCTCGCAGGGCTCTCTCCTTTTCCTGACATCCCCAGGAATTCCCCGCAGGCACTGCAGGGATTCTGGGGCTCGGGGCACGGAGGATCTTTCCCGGAACGTTCCTCCTGCCGGTTCCCGCGGAGCGGAGCCCGGAGCCGCCCCGGCCGGGCTCCAGCCCCGTCCCTCTGTAATTACCGGGTATTTTTGGCGTCCCTTCCTCTCGCTGTTCCGGGCCCGCAGCCCCCGCAGGGTGAGCCGGGGAAGGTGCCGGGCTCGGGAAGCAGCAAATCCCGGCTTCCAAAGGGCCGGGAGGAGCGGGAGCCGCCTCTGGAGCACAATTCCCAGCGCAGCTGCTTCCAGTTACGGCCCCGGCACATGAAAGGGGCGCGGGTTTAAATTTAGCAGGGCAGGAAAAAGGAAAATCCTTTTATCCTCCTGCTGCTCATCCCGGCTCCAAATCCATCCCGGGAGCCACCGGGGAACCGCAATTCCCGCTGGGATGGGGCTGCGGAGCCACGGCCGGGATGGGCTGGGCGGGACAGGGACAGAGGGACAGCGACAGACCGACACGGGACACAGGGACACGGACATGGCGACATTGGTACAGGGACACAGGGACAGAGGGACACGGCAGGGACACGGACACAGGGACAGAGGGACACGGGAACAGGGACACGGGACACAGGGACACACGGACAGAGGGACACGGGGACAGGGACACACGGACACACGGACACAGGGACACGGACACAAAGTTTTGCTGCACTGTGGGCGCTCAGGCAGCCCCAATTCCCTGGGTTTCACCCAAACCCCACAACATTCCCTTGGGATCCGGCTCCTCTCCCGCCTGGGGCAGGTCCGGGGGAGGCGGGAGCGGCTGCCAGGGCCGGGAGCGCCCCTGGCCGGGGGCGCCTTCTCCTCCCGCGGGGGGAATTTGGGTGGATTCGCTCCAGGTTTGTGTTGGCTACTGAGGGCTCGGCCCCTGCTGCTGCTGCTGAGCCCTGGGACAGCGGGGTGCGCTGGAGATCCCCATTCCCTGCTTTTCCGAGGAATCCCATCCCCGGGGTGTCAGATCCCAGCGGGTCCCGGTTCCTCCCAGCACGGAGCTGCCCCGGGAGCAGCGGGAATTTCCAGGCTCAGGGACCAGGGTGTCCAAAGCCACGGCGTGAATTCCATCCCCCACGGCTGATTCCAGAGGTTCCCTCTCCTGGGAAACCCCTGGGATGGGCTCAGTGTGTGCAGGAGCAAAACCAGTTTGGGACTGGGACCAAACTGGGATCAAACCGTTTCCTTCTCTCTCTTTCCAAGAATTAATTTTATTTTTCCAGTGGATCTGGAACAGGGAATGTTGAGGTTTGGATTGTTTGGGTTTGGTTTTTTTTCCCTTCCCTTGTGTCTGGATGCGTTCCCAGCCAAACACAGAAAATGAAATTTTTCTTCTTCTTCCCAGTGAGAAAATTCCTTCTTTTCTGGGAAGAGCTGCCGGGGTCGGGGTGGAACTGCCCCGATCCCCGATTTGGGAGGGACAACCGCGGCCAGGGAGTGCAGAGCCCGGAGAAAAGGCGCAGGGGAAGGTTGGGATGCTGCAGGGAACCTGCCCCGCTGGCTGCAGCGCTCTTCCCTTCCCCTCAGCTCCCGGACCCTGGCATTCCAAACGCTGGGGGGGGAAAGGGAAGGGAGGAATTCCCGGCTGCAGGAAATGGGGACATGCCCAGGGTGGATTAACTCCCGCTGGATCCGCGGCTGGATCCCGCTTTTGAGGCGGGGATCGGGAGCCAGAAGGGACCGGGAGCCCGCGGGGACCGGGAGCCCTCGGGGACAGCCGGGGACCGGGAGCCAGAAGGGACCGGGATCCCGCAGGGACCGGGAGCCCTCGGGGACCGGGAGCCCGCAGGGATGGGGATCCCGCAGGGATCGGGAGCCAGAAGGGACCGGGAGCCCGCGGGGACCGGGAGCCCTCGGGGACCGGGAGCCCGCAGACACCGGGAGCCCGCGGGGATGGGGATCCCTAGCTGGAATGCGGCGCGCAGGCACCGGGATCCCGCGGGGACCGGGAGCCCTCGGGGACCGGGAGCCCGCAGACACCGGGATCCCGCAGGGAGAGGGAGCCAGAAGGGACCGGGATGCCGCAGGGACCGGGATGCCGCAGGGACCGGGATCCCGCAGACACCGGGAGCCCTCGGGGATGGGGATCCCGCAGGGACCGGGAGCCAGAAGGGACCGGGATGCCGCAGGGACCGGGATGCCGCAGACACCGGGGCGTGGCGCGGAGCCGCCCCGGTGTTTTTTGGACCCCGCGGTTCCGCAGCGCTGCCCGCAGCTCTGCGGGAGGAGCCTCGCCCCGGGCCCGGGATGGTGCGAGCGGCTCTGGGGTCGCTTGGAGCTCCGC